AGGGTAGGCTTCGACAAATTTTTGGGCCCGTTTCTGAACAACGCGCGTGCCGCTGCACGTCACGGCCGCCACAGTCTCGCACCCGCTCCAAAGCATAAAATTAAAAATTTATATGACATTCGTATATCATCATTACACGCGTTGTGTCGATGATCACGTGACACGGACAGCAGGGCGTAGGTAGTTTTAGCGAGGCCCATATACTTAGATCTCCCGCAGAAGCCAATTATTATTATTCTTTCTATAGTCATACCATATAAGTAATATTTACGATTATATAAGGTACACGCAGTCAATGGATATGGCAGACGTTAAGTTACGAAAAGCGTAGGATAGTATTAGCAGGTTAATGGCTCATCAACGAGAATTTAAGAAATAATTGATATATTGATTTATTGAGTATCGTCTTATACCGGCAGCCTCTTTCCTCTAACCTTTTTATCTGTTTAAAGGTTCGTTTTAAAATTTAAACGACGATCGCTTTCACTGAAATTACGACCCTATATTATTATATTTGAGTATTTTACCAGGGCCAATAAATAAGAACGTCATATACATTCAAATAGGGTACCAGTTCAAAACTGGTAAGTGTGCAGACTATAGTGACTTTCTTGAATTACGTCAATGAATCCCGATCGAGTGTCGGTATTGCAAGAGCAAAAAATGAGGATTTATTTCAACATATTCATTGAAAGAGAACCTAAAAATCCTTGTGAATTTTAAACTATAAACTATAAATTTAAGAATACATCGTGGTTGGCACATTGGTACATATTGTACTACGTGTAATATTATATGTACCTATTTATAATTTATCATTTTATCTGTAGAAATATGCGAGAAAAATACTATACCTATACCCAACTTAACTTTAATGTGTAGGGGACCACATCATTGGCCACGTTTGTCGAATCTAAAGTCGATAAATTCTGAGATTAACCTGTTATTAGCCATGTATAGTATATTCTCGAATCGAAACTTAACTATATTTATTATATGATTATAATCACAAGTGATTAAATGCATGTAATAATGCTATGATATCATACACTACTCTACTGCAATTCTGTAATTTCATATGTTTTTTCGACAATAATATCATAGAGTCATAATTTATGTGAATAATATACAAATTAAATATCATGTAGTCCTGAGCCCATTTTATTAAACTTTTAATGTTTGACTTGACCCCACGATAAATGTCATATATCATTATTTATTATAAAAAAAAATAATACCTGCCGCTTAACTATGTATTCGTACGTTACTACGTTAGGTACCCTACACTACCCGTTGTACTACGATAAGTTAGTGTTTGACGTCCTGTAAGTGTAATATAAACAATTATTTGGTGGTTATTTAATTACTTAGTAGCTTATCACCTAACCATTTTTGGGTAGAATAGGAATAATAAGTTTAACATTTTATTAGAATAATAGGAACCTACATAATATAATATAATATAATAGGTACGGTACACATTATATTATTTTAAAATACAAAATAATTGTTGATATTGTCTTGTTATAATATTTTCCTTATATATTCTGTTTTATATCTGAAGTGAAATGTGACCGGATAAAATATATTAAACAGAGAAGCGTATTGGAATGTTATGCACATCTAATGTATTGTATTATGTTATAATATTGGCATATTTGCTATGATTATTATTTTATTTTATACTTGCAGAACTATAATGCAGTATAACAGGAGCATTTTTAAGTAAATTTTTTTTTTCAATTAAATTTCATCAAATTATTAAAATCTACTGTACCTATTCTCATCCTGATTCGAATTTATTCATCTTAGATGTCAAAATAGATAATATTATAAGTACATTTTTTTTATATAAAATACAATCATTGCAGCTTCGGTCTTTGGAGATGGAAAAATATAGCATATAAGATTAAAAATATATAGTACCTACATTAGAATTTTATAATTTGTGGTACGTGTTTGAAGGTTTGAAATATTTGAATACTATATTGGTTCTGTAATATACTTTGTACAACAATAACCGCATAACAGTTATCTGCTCATTAATCATTAAACGATGATTGTAGATGTCTTTCTCATTAAACCTCGGTTGAAATATTTAATAATTTGTCCTAAGTATACACATTACACACATTATGATTATGTGTTTTCTACAATATTATACTGATAACTTTGTGTAAAACTGAAAACTCATAGCTACGATAAAACTATTCCCATGTCGTCATGTACAATAATAATTGACTGTCAATTTATTCCTGATTACGATTGAAATAAAATCGAAAGTAAACGTAAATGTCGCGGATCATAATATTATTATAGGCCGAAACTGAACACACAACTTCGAAAACAATACATATAGGTACCTACACTTTCGTTAATTGTTCATTAATCGTGGTTAGTTATAACATTACCGCCGTCGAGTATAGACATGGTATATTATAATATTATCGTAATAAAAAGTGAAAACGACGTATTCGCTATAAAACGTAATAAAGGCTCACGGAAGAATGGTTTTGGAGATTAGAAACGTCGATTACACGCATATCGGACGGATCATCAATGTATACCTACGTCGTAATATTATGTGTTGTGGCGGTCCCCGAGATCCCACGAAGGGGGTTGTTTGGTAAAAAAAAAAAAAATAATCGTGTCAATATAAATAAAATACTCACCAAACAACCTTGACGACGACGACGACGACGATTCCCAGACGAATGTTGGAATGTTTTGCGTAGGTGCGATGAGATAACGGTTGTGCGTCAAGAGGTCGTTATAATATTAATATAGTATTATAGTAAGTTATGATAATTATTAATTGTATACGTGTTTATTACCTATTCGTAAATGCAAGTTCCATTGTACGCACAGTATCGTACTGATGCCCACTATTAACGCTCACGGTAGACCCAACAAAATCAAAAAAAGTAAATGAATGATGCCCATAAGTTATAATCTTATGTAATTAATAATCAATTAAGTAAATTAGATATGGAAATGAATACTATAAACTTGGTGAACTTTCTGTTATGTGAACTATGAAACTTTAATTTTTTCTCATTTTTGCACAGATTACCTGGTAAGAATATCACAATTTTGAGTTTCAAACAAAATTTAGTGCTTCTTCCTAACTTTTTTCGTAAATTTGGTAAAAATATTTGACTTTTATAATATACATACCTAGTCTATAGATTAAAAATAGTATAAAAAATAATATTTTAACATAACTATAAACGGGCTGTTTGCTAAGGGCTAATGCTGATAATGTTCAACAAAATTATTATTAATACAAATTTCATTTGGTGCATAAAATGATTGCACAGAGTGTGACACTCATTACTCACATCTCAAAGATTGTTAAGTTATACTGTCCACTCGTGTCACCGAACGGAGATCAATATATAGTATTATAGTGTTATTGTTTTTAAGTATTTAAATAAATAAAACATCTGATTGTGCTTTTAAAATCAGGAGCACAGACACGAGTTAATTGTCGTATCTATACGCAGCATACACTGAAAATTAGATTTTCTCATTTTTTTTTTCATGGTAATGTAATGTTACGTAGGTAATCAGTTTTAAACTGTACACGTTTCAGAATATTCATTTTTTTTTTTTATAACATTTATTTATAGGCTTTGTAGATCACATTCTTACTATATTTTGTACTCCTGCACACGTCAAGTAGTGATGGCAGATCACATAATTTACTGCTTTTTCAAGTAGCAGGTACTCAGGATGTCAGAAAAAAATTATGTTTAGTTATAGTTATCAATATTTACCAATGATGCATTATGCATTAACGTTTATCGGATTTATCAGCAATATTATGGAACGGCGTACATCTAATTTTAAAGGCGTTTTAAATAGGCAACTTCAAAGAAATTTTTTAATACATGAAAAATAATTAATTAATTAACAAGTGGTCCAATGATAATGTATCCGTTATCTAGTTAAAACTAAATAATATTATATAAAAATTGTTTTGTTATTATGTCAAAAATATGGATAAAGTTAAATATTCGTATGGTCGCAACCCGGGCGAAGCCGAGGTAACACCAGCTAGTACTCTATAAAATTAAACCGATAACCTCAATAATATTTTTATAACGCTATGGGTTACATCGTACCTATGGTCTTTATTGTAAAATTTTCTTTGATGATGAAATAAGTAAATAAAATAAAATAATCTTATAGGTATTATAAATTATGTACAAAACTAATTGTTCATATTAATGTAATAATTGTGTAGGTACCTAATAATTATCTATTATAAATTTAAAGTAAGACTATTATATTGGGGGTGCCGTGAAGGTTTTTATGTATATTAATTTTAAAGAAAGTTATGATTATTTTATAATAGTACATTGTTTTTAAAATTTAAAACGCTTAACTTGCTGGATAATATTCTTACCATCAGGTTTAAAGTTCTATAATAGGTCAATTCTCTCTAATTTTAAAATTTACATATCAAAATGGATTATTCTGAACATAAAATGCTCTATATGTCATATGTTTGAAAGACAGTCAACACATCCAGAAGTTGAGTAAGATGTCCTCTTATATGGAACCTTTTGAAAATCGGGCGTTGAACTCACTGACAAAATGAGAACAAGCGTCAAGCATGAGAGAATGATTTTTGCATAAAATAGCTATAATTTTAATAATTCTTGTGCAGGTGGAGGACCATTTATGCATTCGGACCAAACATACACCCACTTAAGTTCTAGTTTGCTAGATTTCTTGAAGCACTTGTGCATCTGGATTTAACATTTTAGAAGAGTCCAGCGGGTTGTGTCTTGATTATCAGTATTAATTGTATTTCCATGTCTCTGTATTTAATTTCTGTTAGGCGGGTACACATAATATTTTTGCAGACTATTACGCGTTATAGTCGATAGTCGTTATGAATTATGAACTTTAAATTGTAACAGTGTCCATTGCAACTTTTATTCCGAAAAATGTACCGTTTTTATATCGTAGTGGTGGTTTTTTTTACGCAGGTGTTGTGCGAAGTGGAGGCCGCAATGATAAGCCTGAGCACGTGGCGCAACAGGAAGATGCCCGAAGAGCCACGGACAGCGATCGTCGGTGGCCCGGGCTGGGACCCGAATCCCGACCACACGACCATGATGATCCAGGACTGGGGCGTGTTGACCATCTACTATAGGTTCCTAAAGGACTGGCTGCATATCAGCCGGAAAATGGTCCAAGACCAGGTGGACTTGCACCAGCGGTGGTCAGCTGTCTCAGCGGTGGTTTCAGACGCCGACGACGGGGACGACAACGACGACTCTTCTGCCTCCACCATCGACCGACTGCCACCTGCAATGCCGGTGTCGTCATCGCCGTTATCGTTATCGCCGGTGTCGTCATCGCCAATGCCGTGTATCAGACACCACAGATGCGGTTCGTCCAAGTACAACAAACGGCCCAAAACGTCCGGCTCGGTTACGTAGTTACCGGTCCCCGAGGGGTCCGAACAACGAATGTTAATAGATTAAAAAAATTTTTTTAAGTCTGTACATAATATGACTAGTGACTACAATATACCTATTATTTATTTATTTATTATTTTTTTTTTTTTTGTACTTTTGAGACATAAGTTATGTTCTTCTCTGTTAACGATCTAGAGAGACGTGTAAAACAGAACGTTTTCTGTCGTAATGGTACTATTACCTATTTTTTTTTTTTTGTATCTTCGATTATTACACGAGCGTTCTGTAAGTCATGCAGTATAGACATGATCTATATTATTATTATTTTTACTACTATATTACGAATAATTTTAATACATAATATATTGCTTATATTTTTATATTCTATGAACGATTGAACACGAACAGACTGTTTTTTTTTTTTAATATTTGAAATGATAATAATATTAGTTTTGTTTATGAACATTTTAATTTACCCAGCTCTGATAATCTGTGGGAGTGTTTTTATTTTTGTAATTTGAAGAACCAATATATTCTTGCCAAAATGAACGGACTCTAATAATCTAATAAAGGTGAAAATAGACCAAGCGTTACCATCACGAGTTACTGTGGTAACTATAACATTTTAACAACACGACATTTTTATTAACTAAAATTTTATTTTTGGTCCTCTCGAATTTTGTGATTATATTATTGGGAATAATAGGAGCTATATATATAGTCAAGACAACTAACTTGATGCTATTATTAAACAATACAATGAGTTGAACAATAATATATGAATTATTAAATTTAAAATTATAATAATATCATGGCAGTTATAATGGAAGAAGGTCGTTATTACATCATAACAACCACATTATTTTACTCATATTCGTGATCAATCATAGTATAATTACAATAATTACTTTTATTGTATATTATGTATATTAATATTAAATTAAAGGAGATTGTTATTTATTATTTACAATTAATTGTCCAAATAAAACAAAACTCATGAAAACAATATACGACGATCACATTATGATATACTTAATAATACTTGTGACGTACCATAATGACGATTTGACTCGATATTTAATGCTACCTATTATAGGTAAAGCATATAGATATAGGTAGGCGTATAATAGATATAAATTATAATTTATAATATGGCAGGCTCTAAGACTTCTACAAACAAAGGTACGTTATAAATTATATTACTATACTATACTATACTCAGCGGAAACGTTCAATAATGATCTCTAAACGGATATGACGTATTTATTTTACCATTTAAAATATTTAATTTAAAATACAATTTTTGAGCATAATATAGATTATAGAAAGTTAATATATTATAAAAAAATATATTGTACTAAAAATGTAGCTCATCTTAAGGTATTTTTTATTTTAATTTTTAACACAAATTATTAGTATTATTAGTACTTACTTGTTAGTGTTTGTGTATAGTTTCAAAGTTATTTTTTAAAAATATATACATAATACTATTACAACTTACAAATAACAAAGTCCTATAAGTTTAAATAGCTATATACTTACTTATCTTATACTATAAAATTCACTATATATAATATAATATATTATAATTATAAGTTGTAACTACTACTTTTCCTTAACTATGTACAACGTATTTTACAAAATACTTATTTTAAATTCATAATTTATTTGTTTGCCTGTTTTCATTTTTAACAACGTAAGTTTTAATAATTAGGTATGAAAATATAAAATATCCTCATCGTAATAAATAATAATACAACAGTTTAAGGTGGAACCGACCTTTCAACAGACAAGTTTAACATACTATCACAGTATCACGGTCAAGTTATACCATGTAAAAAATGATTTTGTGCATTTGTTTCTACAGAGGGCCTTTAGTTGTTATTTTACGATAAATAATCATAATATAATGAAAAACTAAATTTACTAACAAGTATTATTATTGGGTATAATATAATAATATACTCATAAAAAACGCTAAACCAATTTTTACTAGAAACTATTCATTTTTAAATAATTAAATACTTCCCATTATATGTGTGATTACGTCCCTCTAATATTTAAAAGGACGAATTTTATTAAAACTATAGATCTATTTTATAAAAAAAAGTGCGCGTTGCAAGTACGAGTGGATGATGTGAAACGAAAAATATAACCTCACGACACACACGTTTCTATGGTTTGTTTTGTATGAAATAAAACCCCAACTGTCTTTGGGCGAAACGGTTTTTTAAACCCTAGCTAAATAAGTTTATCTTCAAAAATATGAAAATTTTTTACTATAATATTTAAAATAAACATGGGTTTTTTGTAGGTATATAAAATAATACAAAACTATTTCACAATTTAAGTTTGTTCCATTCAATTTTACATAAAATCAAATAATCATTGAACAATGAATTAAAAGTGCCCATCGAGATATATTATAGCTTCGTATATTATTAAGGAATAATATTTAGGTATTTTATACAGCTTCTATACTTATATTTTGGCTCTAAATGTTTAGTAAACAATATTTGAAACATAATAACAATATTTAGGTACCTACTCAATATTCGGCAAGCAATAAGTTATTTGGTAAGTCACACCGCTTATCGAATCCGATGACAGTAAAATTCGCCTCAGTTTCACTCCCCTGTAACGCCCCTTTCAACACACATCAACACACCCTCCCACGACAATGTATTATAAGTTAAAGCCCATTTATGTATGTAGATATATTGCCCGCCTTTTATTTTGTGTCAACGGTTGAATACCGATAAATAAATAACAATTTTGTCACAACCCGCGACCACAGTTATATTAAAATTAAACTTAAGAGTTTAACTTTTAACTTTTCGAGTCACTTTCAATATTTTTTTTTGTGACCCGTCAAAATTATAGGCACTAGTTAAGTTATATTACATAATATGTCGTGACGTTATAAGACGTTTTCATTCAATCACAATTAGTGTTTTTGACATAAGCAAATGCTCACACGGAATAAATTATGCATTTTAGACGTATCTTCCATATAAAATCTATTAGTAAATGTTTTTTTTCCTAGGTATTAAAAATCTGATTCATAATTTTTGTTACAATTATTTAAAGTAAAAATATTAATTACAACTGAGACATTTTACAATATTTAGACATTGCTCAACGTATCTGCGAGAAATGGTTTTGTTGGGAAATTAAGATGATATAACGATACTATCGACAATTTATGGTTGTGGCTGAAAAACTTATCGATGTATATATTATAAGTAAATCAAAAAAATCGAACGAGCAACGGTTCGTTTGAAAAATTAAAAGTGATGAATTCAAAATGTATCATAGTGTTTGAAATGTTGAATATTCTGTAACTAAAATTAAATGAAAACCTGCAATTAAACATTAATTACACATTTGTAGTTGTTAATCCACATATAAGGTATTAAATCAAGTAATTAATTCAAATTTACTGGAAATCGATATTTGTAATTATTACTTTATTAATTATTTCATTTAAAATGTTATCTATACACCGGGCAGTCATATTCAAGCATTAGACATTTAGACCCAATTCCAATAAAGTTCATGAAACATCGCCATGGCGTATTGGTATTTCTCAATCTATCTAAATCGTGTTAAACCAAGGTGTCACACAATTCGTAAATGTAATTTAAAAAATATATTATAAGGCTCATATCTCAAGTCTGCCGTTTGGTCGGCCTTTATTCAATAATACATTTTAATAATTAAAACACGAGCGTCTCCCAAATTATATTGTTCAAATCACAAGTATGCTGTCTGCAGCTGGTTATATTATATACGCATCTAAACCACGTTGGTCGATGTACGTATATAGTAAAAATTTGATTTAGATGTGACCTTATTATTTGTGTCATGTACTCATGTGCCGTCTGATAATATAGGCCCCAGTACACTAACAATTATTGTATCGAACACCTGCAGCATCTGGTTTCAATCTCAAACAGTTTTTTTATATATTATTATTAATATACTTGTTTCCGTATAGCTAAATTATATATAGTGTTAAATCGATTAATGTAACCCATTATTCATTTCAATTAATAGTATGCATTATACGTGCTACCTGTACGGCTGTATAGTGTATATTATGCGTATAATAGTAGCTAATTAGCATTATTGTATTCCTATAAAATATGCACGAGAATAATAGTGTTCAAATGTTCATATATACATAATAACAACTCATCTTAATGGGTTTTCGCCGATTTTGGTTGGTATATTAACATGTTTTCATTTAATTTAGTATTCGAATATATTAGTTTCTCATTATAACACTTTTCGATTGTACCTACTTGTTCCTAATCAATTTTCATGGAAGCGTGAGAGTGTGATTTACCCGCGAAGTCGAAATATCCAATCTTATCTGTAAGTTGGAGCTATAAAAAAATCGTTAGTAACCATGAAAACCCTATATTATTATGTTTCGAAAACAGTTTATAAATTAAATTAATTTATGAGGTGGTACCTGCAGCAGATACTGTACGAACAATAAGCCACCCTGTATAGCTCTGTGGAGGTCCTGCACTGCTGCCCATCATAGTGGATATGAGATGCGGTCTTCCCATCCGGTCACTTGTGATTATTATATTTTAGGCAGCTACTAATAATATAATATTTCGTATAGTAACTATATTATTATATATGTCAATGTGTATGCGTGTGTATTGGCGTATTCTTTTGGTGTCAGTTCATTCAAAAATCCACCAGCCTAGGTGACGTGTTTTCCTTGTGACGACGACACGGAATTCCGTTGAAGACATGTATATTGGGTACCTACGTCTTATTATACCTTGTATTTGTCAGATCAACGCCTTTTTCACACACGCTCCCGCACACACACACACACATACACACACACACACTCACACTCACACAATGTGTTTACATCTCCGAAATTATTATTGTAACAAAAACCGTCAGCCACCGCCGCCGCCCCGTGTAGAACATTTTTGCGTCTTTTCGTTTGAGTGGCGCCGTCGTGTCGCCAAACGGTATACAAACAGTTT